GGATATGGGCCAAATGCAGGCAAATGGAACTAGTTTAGTTTGGGAAACTTGGTCAGCATGGATGAGTTGGACTCAAGAGTCTGCTTCTCTGCTGTATGATTCTATGACTATGGGATAGACTCTATGGGTAGTGGTGAGGGTCACTACACTGCAGACAAGAGCAAGGTTGAGAAAGAGAGTCCTTTATGGTAATCTCAGTTGGAAAAGGAACCTGCTGAGTGTTTCCTGTCTTTTATGGTCAGATCACTGGTGTTACCTGCAAAGGTGGAAAGATGCCACATGTGGATTGTATTGTTGTGTCTGAGTTACTAGATTCGCAAACCTGCAGTTGGAAGCAGAATTTCCTGTCTATCTGCACCCAGGCAGGTATAAAACAGAGACATCGAGGAAATTCGGAAGCTCATCTTTTTTGCATGTGATTATGCTCACCCACCTTTGTTGCTCTGTTTTGCTCTGGGTTCGTAGAAGTGTCTTGCCCCCTTGCTAAAGATCTGGGCAAACGATTTTCCTGCAATTAGCAACTAGTTCAAAACAAGTGTAAGAAGTTCTGAGTTATAATATGTGCCATGCAGAAACAAAATCTGGCGGTCCTCGAGTTTTGGAAAGAAGCCGAAAGAACTGCGGATGCTGTAAATCAGAGACAAAAATAGAAATTGCTGGAAAAGCTCAGCCGGTCTGGCAGCATCTGTGGAGAGAAATCAGAGTTAACTTTTTGGGTCAAGTGACCCTTTCTCAGAAAGTTTTGCCAGACCGGCTGAGCTTTTTCAACAATTTCTATTTTTGTCTCTAGAGTTTTGCAGTTGTTTTTGTGTTGAATTGTAGTTGACCCTCACTAATGTTTTTTTGTTGTGTCTGTAGTTGCATTTGAGGGGCATCTGCCATTTTCGGATTAAAAGAAATGTTTACAAGATAACTTCAAAGCCTATCTGTATGTATTTGGTACAGCTGCTATAATCATGTGATTGGACTTAGCAGGAACAGAAACTTCTCAGAAGTCAGAGTGGGTCAGATGAACTATTGCATTAAAAATTGCTTCAGCGACATTTATGTTTATGAGAAACGTTTAAAAAAAGCTACATACTCGAATTGCACATTGTCCCTGTCATTAACGATGTAGAATTTCACAGAATTTCATAGAATCCCTACAGAGTGGAAACAGGCCATTCAGTCCAATGGGTCAACAATGACCCTCTGAAGAGCATCCCACCCAGACTCATCCCCCTATCCTATCCCTATAACCCTGCATTTCCCATGGCTAACACACCTAGCCTGCACATCCCTGAACACTATGGGCAATTTAGCATGGCCAATCCACCTAACTTGCACATCTTTGGACTGTGTGAGGAAACTGGAGCATCCAGAGGAAACCCACGCAGACACAAGGAGAATGTGCAAACTCCACACACACAGTTGCCTGAGGGTGGAATTGAACCCAGGTCCCTGGTGCTGTGAGGCATTAATGAGGCTGTTAGTGACTTTGCACTTAAACGACTGTCAATAGCACATTGATCAGGGCATTTCAAAGCAGGCTCAGGAGGCTTGGTGTGGTAACAAGATGAAATTTTATGGTCATGGACTTCGAGGCAGCAATGGCTCTGGTGGAGCTCTGACTGTTTTGTTTGAACAATGTTTCATAGACTTAAATTTTCAACAGGGGGAAGCCTGCTAAAGAACAAGCTGCTCAGATTATTATCTCCTATTTCTGCTGCACTTTTGAGGTGAATTCAATGTGAAATCTAATTGTCCTCTTTAAGAGCAACTGGAAGACTTCTTGATACTCCGCTTCCTGAGAAAGATGTGTCTGCCAGGATCTCACAGTCAACAGTGCTTGTTTGGTAACATCCGTCTAACCAGAATGTCAGACTGGCAGCCATCTGAATATCTCAAATCTTATCCTTTTTGCCTTCAAGAACTAAGATTAATTGGCCAAAGATTCCCAAAGTGAAAAACAGAAATTAGTTTTCTTTTCCCCCTTTACCTGATGTATATATGTGTGTGTTCATGAGTATGTGCGTGTATTTTGGGTTTTTCAAGGGGCAACTATTTATATTTTCATTTTGCAAACTAAGTCTATTAACCAGTTTTGCATCTTCAACGAAGAAGAGTCTGATGAGGAACCCATAAGATCATAAGATATAGGAACATAATGAGGCCAGTCTGCTGCACTTTTCAATCATGGCTGATATTTTTCTCAACCCAATTTACTTATCTTTCCCCATAACCTTTGATACCCTTACTAATCAAGAACCTATCTACTGGACTCGAGCTACTAACTGTTTATCTCTGTACAGATGCTGCCAGACCAGCTGAGTTTCTCCAGCACTTTCTTTTCTTTTTGGGTCAATACACAGGACTCTGCTCTTTGCAGTCAGAAAGAACATTTACCTCACTGGATTTGTTTCAACTCAGTCATTATTCACTGGTTCATTTCTCAGAGCAATATCCTGAACAAACAGCCAGAAAAACATTTTTAATCAAACTGTTCAGACAGGTTATGACACATCTTTGTGGTAAGTGGGACCTGAACCAGGACCTTCTGGTCAAGAGGTAGGGACACTACTGTCCCAAACAGCCCTGACACAGACAATCACTCAACCTGCCTGATTTAAAACTTAAATACAGCCCGGCAGTTAATTGTCAATGATCATTAATGATCATTCTCTAGGGCATCACTTCTACCAATCAGCACTCTAATGCATTATAAATATTGTTTTTACCCCAAAATTGGTGTTCTTTTAAATTGTCCTGTTGAATGCAAGACAAAAAAAACTGATGATAATTTGCCTTTTATTTTGTACAAAAATTACATTGTTAACATGATTGTCTGTTCTTAAACATGCCATGCTAATGTGCATGAATAATGGCTTCAAACTTCCATTTTCATACTTTGAAGAGGAATATACGTGAATTTGGTGGTTCCCAATTGCTTACACTGATTTTCACTTGTGCTTATGTTAATATTCCTACATATTTTAATGCGATTGCAATACATATACAGGTAAGCAGACAACAAAACTTTGTGTCTGGTAGGAAGTTCTTTCCAGGTGTATTTTCCACATTATACCATGACAGCTTGACCTGCCCCATGAAGCTCGCTGTGAGTAGTTCAAATGAAAAAGCAAATGCTGCATCCTTGTTCAAAAAACAACTAGTTGACACCTATGAATCAGAGCGTGAAACAATTGTAGAAAGTGATTCCAATGAAATAATGAACTGAAAGAACGGTAGCAAACTTATATGGGTTAAAATAACTTTCTTAAGGAAAAAGCAAAGAAAGGGGAGCAGGGCATAACTTGTTGAAGTTTAAGCACATACTATACACCACTGGAGTATTTCTTTCTTCCTCTGGGTGAGCATCCCTCACAGTCAAATACAGATCTCGTGGATACTGCCATACATTGGTTTGGATCAACATGAAAAATATAGTATCATCAGTATGTGAAAAAGCAATGCTTTGGATCCTTCAATCAATGTTCCTACCACTGACAGAGTAATTCAGAAACAAATTGGGGTACAATTACATTTTTCCTTGCTTTTATATTTGTATAAAAAGAACAGCAGAGTAACACTTGGATTCCACATTTGAATTCCATTCAAGTATGCACGGAAATAAATTGTGGATATTGACATAATTTTTTTTGTTTTTTTATTAATTACTTTAACTTCCTCCTATTTTTGATAGGACGGAGAATATTTCAAGTCTTTTTTGAGAATGGCACTTTCCTCTCCCAGAACTGCACTAACTTGGATCTCTTCATAATACAGAACGGTTATACTTAATCCTTGCATCACATAAATCCTCACACACAAGTAATTGGAGTAAAAGTAATTTCCAATGCAAGTACAGCTTATCAGATCACTACTGTAACTTCGCCAAATCAAAGGAAAAAGTATATCAAAATCAAAATCTTTTGAATTAAACCAAGGTACAAGGTTTCGCAATTTAGAAGGTAACTTAACACTTTAAGGAGCACAAATAAGGCATAGGATGAGTTCCTGTGATTTGTTTTATATTCATTCATGGGATGTGGACATAGCTGGCAGGGCCAGCATTTATTGTGGTGATGGTGAGCTGCTTTCTTGAATCGTTGCAGCCAATGTGCTGTAGGAAGACCCACAATGCTTTGGATCCTTCAATCAATATTCCTATCACTGAGACGGTCATTGTGAAATGAATTGACATACAATTACAATTACTCGAAAGTTTAAAAAAGATGTGACTATTTTCTACTTTGTTCCAGTTTGTTTTCTGTAAAACAATACGAAATGTAATGTGATTGTGGTTTATTCACTTTTGACAGGAAATATGGCTAATGCCTGATCTTTGAAAACTTTACCAGTTACTGACTAAGAATGGATATTTCCTGTCACCCCTCTGCTTTCTGTTGCTTAATCAAAGTGAGATTTCTTCAAATACAGTAAACAATAACTCAGTCTCCAAACTGCACTTCAAGAGATTTTCTTAAGCTAAAGTAAATGCAATGAACTGTACAATATTTATCCTTTCTGTCAAGCAGTAAATATCCATAGCTTGAAATTAGCTCCAAAAGATAAAATAAACTTGGTATATCTAGAGTTTTTTCTCACCTATGGTGTTTATCATGATAAACATAAAAATAGAGGTGAATCACTCAGTTTCTAGATCTTGTGCTAATGTATTATTATTTCTACATTCCCAGAAAACAACGTATTCATTCTACAATAATGTTATTTAAAACAACAACTCCTTATGGAGTGCAGAGCTGTGTTTTAAACCATTATATTAAAGTTGGGAAACTGAATTTAAATTTTCAACTGCTTTTGCATGTTATATCTGCAACGTAAGTGTTCACATGCATAATTTTCACTGTCTTATAATTTTGGAAATTATTTTTTCATTTAAATAGCATAATTGAAGAGTTATATTTACCTTATTATCATTTTGATAAATATGTAATCCTTCTTAATGTAAACACATTGAAAAGTCACACTAAGTTCCATTATATAATCCAAATGTGTAACTATGTAAAATCATCAATAATTGGTAAAGTAGAGACATGCTGCTGGATCCACGTGGCAAACTTTGATACTCTTGTGTAGACCCCAGGATAATTTTCTCTTCCACATCCATGGCCCCAACTAACAATGCCAGTCAGAAACCATCTTCCACCAATTCTTTCCTGACAAGATAATGGTCCACCAGAGTCACCCTGCAATATTAATCAAAGTCCTGAAAAGACTGACAATGAAAATAAATATTATAAATTTAAAACATTATCGATCAGATTTTTCCAAAAAGAATGGTGTCTGAAAGGCACATCAATCACTCGGAAGTTGGTCAGTGTTGTGTGTGCTGCAGAACTAACCACCACTGGATAATTGTTTTGATAGAGTGCTGGCACCAATCCTCATTTCTAATCAACTTGTTCAGAGATGTTATTGCACACCCATAGAGCAGCCAGGTCTCCTGGTTCAGAGATGGGGTCACTAAAGCCCATAATCACAAACCTATCAACTCATCGCTCTTACTTATTGGCAGTCTTCAAACCTCGGCTCCCAGAATATTATCTGGGTCTCTGGATTAATAGTCCAGCAGTAATGTCACTAGGCTAATGCCTTCCAAGCACTGTGCATTAATTTAGGCAACCTCAGCTGTTGTGGGAATTGAATTCATGCTATTGGGCATCACTGCACTACAAATCAGCTGTGCAGCTAATGAGCTAACCAACAGTACAAACTTTTTTTTTCTATACTATGTCTAAGGGCCTATTTGATTAACAGTACTCCCCAGGGCTAACCTGTGAAATATTTCAGATTGCATGGAGCTTAATGCAGCCTTCAACATGAACCCTTTCAGAGCCATTATCTCATACAAAAGTCAATGAGTTACAAATTGCCACATAGTGTTGACTGGTGTGTTCTGTTTCACTGTGAGCAGTGTGAAACCAGCATCTTACAAGTTAAAAATCATAATTTTCATAAGCCTGTTGTATTTGTATATGACTAGTTACTAATTCCAATAATTAGCAGCATTAGTACTCTTTTAAGAACATGTCATTATCGATGACTTCCAAATGTGCCTTGCTGGTCAGAAACTAAACAAGATGCTTTCAAAAGAGGAATAAGGCTGTTCTTTGCAAAGGAACAACATGCAGAGTTATAGGGAGAAGATAGGAGAATGGCACAATGTAAGTTGTTCATTCACAGAGCTGGTATGGGCATGATGAGCAAATGGCTTCTTTCTGTGCCATGAAGTATTTGTGAGAAGGGCTGAGTTTCATTCCGTTTGGGTGTGACTTGGTCTCAGAGATAATAAAACTGTAAAATTTTAATATATTTGTTTCTTATTTTACCTTCTTTTGCATCCAATCTTTCCTGTCCTCTTTATTTCTCTTTCAGTATGATTTCAAATGGAATTCCCCAACTTTATTTTATCCCAGTCATTGGTCATTCCACTGCTTATTTCTCAATTATAGAATTTCAATGGTTAATGAAATATACTGTTTGTCCCACTATTCACTAAGATCCCAGATATCCATGGACAAAATTAGAACTCCAATGTCAGTTAAAACACTAGAAGCCCCACCAAGTTCTCAACATTAATGATACCTTGCAGGATCTTTGTAGCCTCCTGAAACATGTATTAACACTTGCTGAGTTTTGAGGAAAGGTCACTCGACCCGAAACATTAACTCTGATTTCTTTTCACAGATGCTGCCAGACCTGCTGAGCTTTTCCAGCAATTTCTGTTTTTGTTTGCGTTTGTTGTTAAAAATAGCTGGACCTGAGAGCTGTGCATGACTCTGGGCTGAAGGGTCTGTTTCTTATAACTCTATGACTGTGAGATGTGGGGTAACCTCCTGGATCAGGTCCTAAAGCTTTTTGGGCTAGTAGGGTAGGGTTGTAGGCAGGATGGCCAGGGCCATGAGATCACCATAGCCTTCAATTGCTTTGTCACGGACTACTCTCACTCTGTCTTCAGGGAACATCAGCCTCATCTCCTACCTGCAGCATGGATTATGGGGGTAAGTTTTCAAGGCCTCGGTAAGAACTTCAGTCTACCCCATGATGTAAGTGGTGCTAAAACTCTGATATACAACACTTGCTGGCACAAATGTGATGTTGTTACTGCATATGCTGAGGAGAGGAATAGATGAGGTGCCTGTCTATATAATGATTTGACGCAAAAGTAATCATCAATTGTTAATAAAGCACTGGATTGTTTGAGTTATGCAGGGTTTGAGACTAGCCTTGAGCAAATTTAGCAGTAAATTCTCCAAATGCCGCTCTTCCAGTTCCCCATTGGACCCCTCCACTTCTGGGGTTTTCTATTGAAAATGGCAGCAAAAAATGCACTATATATGGGGGGTGCACAGAAATGGTATGATATGCTTGCAATAATTTGCTTTATGGGAATACTGAGTTTACAGTTGCAAATAGCTTATTTAATTGAAGACAGGCCAATTCGTTGCACAGGATATAGTGGTTTTGAACTGCTACAGTGATATGAACAGAGGAGGGAACTAATCCAAATATGAAAATGAGCCTGATCGTAGACAAGCAATCAAATCAGGAACGTGTCATGGTGGGAACAGATTTCTGAGAGTTTATAAAAGTGGAAAATCCTGTTTTATCACCTTTATCATGTCATCTTTTATTGTTTCTGAGTCATGGAAACCAACAGTTACTTTCTGCACTTTCTGCATTAGGATCTACTTTTGTACTTACTGTGGTATCAATAAAATGCAAAAACTCCAGTATAATTTAATCATGAAATATACTTCAATTATTTTGACTATTAGCAAAACATAGAACATAGAACATAAACAGTACAGCACAGTACAGGCCCTTTGGCCCACGATGTTGTGCTGAACTTTTTACCCTAATCCTAAGGTCTATCTAATCTCCACCCCTACCTTATACACTCACCCATATGCCTATCTAATAGCCGTTTAAATGCCCCTAATGAGGCCGACTCCACTACCCTCTCCGGCAATGCATTCCACGCCCCAACCACCCTCTGAGTAAAGAACATACCTCTTACGTCTCCCCTATATCTACCTCCACTCACTTTAAAACTATGTCCCCTCATAATAGCTACCTCCACCCTCGGAAAAAGTCTCTGGCTGTCCACTCTATCTACACCTTTGATCATTTTGTACACCTTTATCAAGTCACCTCTCATCCTTCGTCGTTCTAAAGAGAAAAGCCCTAGCTCTCTCAACCTTTCCTCGTAAGACCTTCCCTCCCTCCAGGCAACATCCTGGTAAATCTCCTCTGCACCTTTTCCAACACTTCCACATCTTTCCTATAATGAGGCGACCAGAACTGGACACAATACTCCAGAGGTGGCCAAACCAGGCTTTTGTATAGCTGGAGCATAACTTCACGGCCCTTGAACTCAATCCCTCTATTAACGAAAGCTAACACACCATATGCCTTCTTAACAACTCTATCCGCCTGGATGGCAGCTTTCAGGGAACTGTGGACATGAACCCCAAGATCCCTCTGCTCTTCCACACTGCCAAGAATCTTTCCGTCAACCCTGTATTCTGCTTTCAAGTTTTTCCTTCCAAAATGAATCACCTCACACTTTTCAGGGTTAAACTCCATCTGCCACTTTTCAGCCCAGCTCTGCATCCTATCAATGTCCCTTTGTAACCTAGAACAGCCCTCCGCACTATCCACAACTCGACCCACCTTCGTATCGTCTGCAAACTTACTAATCCACCCTTCCACTCCTTCATCCAAATCATTTACAAAAATAGAAGAGGACTCAGAACAGATCCTTGTGGTACACCACTCATAACTGAGCACCATGTTGAATATTTTCTGTCCACTACCACCCTTTGTCTTCTAAGGGTCAGCCAATTCTGAATCCAATCTGCCAGATTTCCCCCTATCCCATGCCTCCTTACCTTCTGCATGAGCCTACCATGGGGAACCTTATCAAATGCCTTACTTAAATCCATGTATACCATATCCACTGCTCTACCTTCATCCACATGTTTGGTCACCTCTTCAAAGAATTCAATAAGGTTTGTGAGGTATGATCTACCCCTCACAAATCCATGCTGACTATCACTAATCAAACTGTGCCTTTTGAAGTGATCATAAATTCTATCTCTCAGAGCCCTTTCCAATAATTTGCCCACCACTGATGTAATGACAGTTCTGTAATGATGCTACATTATGGTAGCTGAATCTAGTATTGAGCTAGATCAATACTAATAAATTCAATGTGCATAAAGATATGCAATGGAGTTGATAATTCATTGTTTCAATTGCCACAAGTCTGATCTGTCAGATTTGTACATCTTACATCAGTAAATAGACGTGTTTGCCCAGGCAGCTATACTGGCCACAAATGCAGAGTATTACAACTGTTTAAAATTTGCATACATAGCAAGTTAAATAGATCTCTCTGCAAATATGCACATGGCTGCATTAATTTTTCAACCACACAGGAAAGCCTACTTTGTGTGACTGATCTTCCCTTAACAAGTCTCTCGAGATATCAGATAAATTGCGTCTATTCTAAATCAATGGGTTCTGAGATAGCTGATATATCCAATGCATAATCTGCAAACTCTCTCACAGGGAGGGTACTTGGTGCTTTTTGGGACAGGAAGGTGAGTTGTTTACAGGTTTGTGCACTATCCCTGTATCTTGGCTTTGCCTCTAGTTGGTCCCAACAAAGCTTTTTGATGTGTTTTGTGCCTTCCCAAATAAATTTCCATTTTGGTCAGTCAGAAGTCGGCAACTCCCATGTGCTGACAGATTTATTTGATTTCTCCGGGGTGCTTCAAGATATCCCTAAAGTGTTTCCATTCTTCTCCTGGGAGTCTCTAGTTGTGAATGAATTCAGAGGTAGTTATGAATGACTGAGGCCTCAATGCTAAGCATGTTGTTTTGGGAGAAGGCACTTCTGGATGGCTTTTCTTGCCACCTAATTTTGAAAATTTTGTGACGGCAACACAGATTAAAACAAGCTGCATGGTGTGAATGATGTGGCATTTTTCAAAAACTATTGAAATGTTAGTTACAAAGAACAGCTTTTCTTCATTCATACGTGGGACGTAGACATCATTGCTTTGGTTGGCATTTATTGCCCATCCCTAACTGCCTGGAGGGCAGTTAACTGTCAATCATATTGCTGTGGGTCTGGAGGCACATGTAAACTAGACTAATTAAGGACAGCAGATTTAGTTATCATCATAGTCAGAGATGTACAGCATGGAAACAAACCCTTTGGTCCAACGTGTCCAAGCCAACCAAATATCTTAAATTAATTTTGGCCCATATCTCTCTAAATACTTCATATGCATGTACCCATCCAGACGTCTTTTAAATGTTGTGATTGTAACTGCCTCCATGATTCCCTCTGGCAGCTCATTCCATACACGCACCACCTTATGAATGAAAGTTTCCCCTTAGATCCCAATTATATCATTCCCCTCTCACATTAAACTTTGCCCTCTAGTTTTGGACTTCTCTACCGTGGGAAAAATATTTTGGCTATTTACCCTATCCACATCCCTCATGATTTTATAAACATCTATAAGGTCACCCCTCAGTCTCCGACGCTTCAGGGAAAATAGCCCCAGCCTATTCAGCCTCACCCTATAGCTCAAACCCTTCAGGACATTAGTAAATCAGATAGATTTTTACAACTAAGTCATGGTCATCACTTCTTTCTTATTCCAGCGATTTACTGAATTCAAGTTGTGCCATTTGCCATGGTATGATTCAAACCCATGTCACCAGAAAATTAACTCGGGGTTCTGGATTATTATTCCAGAGGCATTATCACGGCACCTCTGCCTCCCCTTCGGCTGTTATACACTAAACAATTGCATATGTAGTCTTTCTGAAAAGGGCAATGTTTTTCCACCAATAATTGTGTAAAATACAGCATTGCTCACTATTTCTGTTTTTCTTGGTGACTTGGTATTTTCATCCATTGAGGGGAGACTGTGCAACGCTGGAAATAGTGTCAATGCTCTGAGCCAGCTGGATTCAAATCCCATCTGTTCCAGAGCTCTGAACATGTTGATTAGAAAATATCTATAATGCTGGAAATAGAACATCTGAATGTTCATCAATTGTTAGTAAAAACGTTAACAGTTAAGTTCAATTTTAACTCTGGTAAAGGTATTTGCCTTTCTACTTACACGACAAGCATCTCTTTTCCCTGAAAGTAATCCTGCACAGAGCATGCGTGGAGTGACAAGTCCATAGGTGGAACGGCAGAGTGACTGATTCATGATTTCAACCTCTGCTTGTTGAAGAACTGTAGAATCACTGCTATCTTCAGGCAGGCAAAAAAAAAATTACAAAAGCATTACTTAACTTTGATCAGTTTTATTATGCTCAGTAGAATTTTTAACACTTAATTCAGTATTTGGGGAAAGGCAATAATTTCATGATTATGTCACTTAACCAGCAATCAAAAATCTCACGCTAATCCACTAGGAACATATGTTCATCTCTGACTATGGCAGCTGGTGGAATTTGAATTTCATTAATAAGCCTGAAATTCAAAGCTACTCTCAGTCCTGGTGACTATGAAACAATCATTGACTGCAGTAGAAAACATTCAGCATGTCAGTATCCTTTAAGGATGCAAACCTACTATCCTTGTTTAGCCTCTGTGTAACCCCAGATCCATAGCAACATGGTTCGCTCTTAATTGCCGTCTGAAATGGTATAGCAAGCCACTCAGTTCAAGCCTAATTAGGGATAGGCAACAAATGCTGACCTTGTCAGTGACAAGTCCCTTGGTCAGGACACTACCACGGTGCCACAAGAACACTAACAATGGTGCCAGACGTCAACCAGGAATGACATTTTGTACTCCTTTGGCACAATGATCATGTCTCTGCCTCTGGGCTAGTAGGTCTGAGTTCAAGTTCCGCATCTCTTGATGGTGTGTCATGACATGTATGACTGCTCTAAATATTTAACAATGTCCTTCACCTACGTACATGAAAAATACATGATTATGGTAGGTAAGGTGATGACCAAGTGATATTGTTGCTAGTCTAGTAATGTAGAGATCCAGGTAATGTTTTGAGGACCTAGCATATGGAGGAATTTGGATTTAGTTTACATTTCTAATTTAAAAAAGAAACAGCATTAAAACTCTAATGAGGGTGGATGACACTGAATAGAGGGAGATCTAGCTAGTTGGATGTAGAACTAGCTTGAAGGTAGAAGACAGAGGGTGATGGTGGACAGTTGCTTTTCAGACAGGAGGCCTGTGACCAGCAGTGTGCCACAAGGATCAGTGCTGGGTCCACTGCTTTTCATCACTTGTATAAATGATTTGGATTTGAAATTAGGAGGTATAGTTAGTAAGTTTGCAGGTGACAGTAACATTGGAGGTGTAGTGGACAGTGAAGAAAGTTACCTTAGAGTACAATGGGATTTGATCTGATGAACCAATGGGCCAAGGAGTTGCAGATGGACTTTAATTTAGGTAAGTGTGAGGTACTGCATTTTGGAAATCCAGGAAGGACTTATACTCTTAATGGTAAGGCCCTGGGGAGTGTTGCTGAACAAAGAGACCTTGGAGTGCAGGTTCATAGTTCCTTGAAAGTGGAGTCCCAGGTAGACAGGATAGTGAAGAAGGCGACTGGTATGCTTGCCTTTACTGGCCAATGCATTGAGCATAGGGGTTGGGAGGTCATATTGCGACTGTGCAGGATATTGGCTAGGCCACTATTGGAATACTGTGTGCAACTCTGCTCTCCCTGCTATAGGAAGAATGTTGTGAAATTTGAAAGGGTTCATAAAAGATTCACAAGGAATTTGCCAGGGTTGGAGGATTTGACCTATAGGGAGAGGCTGAATAGACTGGGGCTATTTCCCTGGAGCATCGGAGGCTGAGGGGTGATGTTATAGAGGTTTATAAAATCATGAGGGGCATGGATAGGGTAGAGGTGAGACCTTTTCCCCGGGGTAGGGGAGTCCAAACCTAGAGGGTATACATTTAAGGGGAGGGGGAAAGACTTAAAAGGGAACTAAGGGGCAATTTTTTCACACAGTGGGTGGTGCGTGTATGGAATGAGCTGTCAAAGGAGTGGTGGAGGCTGGTACAATTACAACATTTAAAAGGCATCTGGATGGGTATAGGAATAGGAAAGGTTGAGAGGGATATGGGCCAAATGCTGGCAAATGGGGCTAATTAATTTAGTATATCTGGTCGGCATGGACAAATCAGACCAAAGGGTCTGTTTCTGTGCTGTACATCTCTATGACCATGAAACTATCATTGATTGTAACAAAAACCAATTTGAGGAAGGAAACTATCTTACCTGATCTGGCCTAAATGTGACTCTACACCACATAAATGTGGTTAAGCATTTACCTGCATCTGAAGTAGCCTAGCAAGCCATTCAGTTGTCACAAAGGGCAACTAGGGATGGGCAATAAAGGACGGTTCTGAGGAAGGGTCACCAGACCTGAAACATTAACTCTGATTTTTTTCTTCACAGAAGCTGCCAGACATGTTGAGTTTTTCCAGCAACTTCTGTTTTGGTTCCCGATTTACAGCATCTGCAGTTCTTTCGGTTTTTAATCACTAGGATGGTTACTTTGCCTGACTTTGATCACCATCTAAGTTGAAGGAATCTCACACCAGGTTCTACCACTGATAAAGAAAATAAAAACTTATTTATTATAATGAACTTATCCTTTCATAAATGGCAAAATAGATTATTAATTATAAATATGCAACTTAAACTATACCTTCTTTAGCTTCGAATATGCACACATTCATTCACAAATAGTATAAGCAATACACCCAAGGTAAACTGTTGTGCAGGAACATTATGAATGGAAATAATAGGCAAAAAGGAACAAAATCTGGAGATCAAGAGTCCAAATCACAAGAGTGGAAATAAATTGATTTTCTCATACGTTTTTTTTGGTTTGTGGTGATAATATCTGGTTTTCTCAACTGCAATGATTCACAAATCAGTAGCCATTCAGTTGAACTTAGATCTTTTATTTTGAAGTTGTTCCTTTTGGAATTGTTTAGTGCGGATTTTCTTCCACTCACAGAGGAGAAGAAGGAGGAGGAGAGCGATAGAGAGAGAGAGGGAGAGATCTGGCTTGTTTGCCAGCTGTTGGAGGTCTGAGCACCACTGCTCCTTTCAATTCTGTGACAAAACTGCTACTTAAAACCAACTCAATAGTGATTGCTGGGCATTTTAAAGGCATCTTGGTGCCAGCTAGTCTCCAAATGAATCTAAAGTAATGAACAACTCAGTTCAACTTTTGTCTTGAGTTATAAAAATAACAAATTCATTTTCTGTAACACAACAGCGCAAACATCTATTTTCCAGTTTATACAATTTTATTTGGAAATATGTACTGCTAAAATTTCTGGTGTACGATCATTAATTATTGTTTAATAGCATGCAATTATTTACAAAATTTAAGACAGTAAAACATCCTATGACACTTTAGACAATAAAGATATTTTTGAAATAAGACTAGAAAGTGCTGGAGAAAGTCAGTAGGTTTGGCAGCACCTGTGGAGAGAAAAACAAAGTCCAATATACATCTCTTTTTCTGAACTTGACATTTTTGACACTGAGTAATAGAAGGAGAAGCAGGAGAAAGCATGTTTTGCCTATCCCTAATTGAAAAGGTGCCGGTGAGTCAATTTCTTTAACTTTTACACTCCGTGCAGTGTAGCTTGGTCAAAGAGATTGTTTTCAACAACAAATAAACAAGAAAGACATTAAAGGGGGTGGGGGAAAATTGCAGAGTTTAGGACCAAAGCAGCTGAAGACATGGCCAAAAATGACAAACCTGGAAGGTTTGTGGAAATGGAGGAGACGGGGAGGCATGAGGTCATGGAGAAGCTTGTCAACTAGGATAAGGATTTTATAACTGATGCATTCTGGGATGGATAGTCAATGAAAGTTGGCAAGCTCAGGAGAGATGGGAATTAGATTTCGATGAGCTAAACATAGATATCAGGGTTTTGGGATCATCATGTTCATGTAGGTGAAAGACATGTGGCTGACGAGAACAGCATTGGAATAGTCATATCTGCAGTCATAAAGACATGAATAAGTGTTTCAGCAGCAAATGTGCTGAGGTAGAGTTGAAGTAGAACCATGTTACAGAGGTGGATGTAAGCAGGGATAAGATCCCTGCACAAACCAATAACTTTTAAAACATTATTGAAATGCTCAAAGACCAGCTGAAGGATCACAAAAGATTTGAAGTTTTATAACTCTTATTGTAATAAATTAAATAAAATTGAAGCCTCTATTATCAACATCATAGAGGTTTTCATTGACCAGAAACACAACCGGATCTGCTATATAAATACCATGGCTACGAGAAAGGTCAGAGACTAGAAATACTGTGCCGAGTGACTCACCTCCTGACTCCCTAAAGCCTGTCCATCATTTACAAGGCACAAGTTACAAGTGTGATGGAATATTCCCCAATTGCCTGGTCAACTGTAGCTCCAAAAACCCTTAGGAAGCTTGACCGTCCAGGAAAAAGCAGCCCAATTAATTGGCACCATATCCACTCCCTCCAGCACCAACATTCAGTAGCAGCGGTGTGTAGTAGCTACAAGGTGCACTGCAGAAATTTGCCAAAGATCCTTAGACAACACTTTCCAAATCCATGACTACTTCCATCTAGAAGGACAAGGGCAGCAGATACACGGGAACATTGCCACCAGCAAGTTCCCCTCTAAGCCACTCACCATCCTGACTTGGAAATATATCTCCATTCCTTCAGAATCGCGAGGTAAAATCCTGAATTCTCTCCCTCACACCATTATAAGTCTACCAACAGCACATGGACTGCAGCGGTGCAAGAAGGCAGCTCACCACCACCATTTCAAGGGCAACTAGAGATGAGAAATGAATGCTGGCCAGTCAGCCATGCCCATATCTGACAAATGAATAAAAAAAATTGATTAAACACTTAGTCAGTAACTAATATTCTAACCTACAAAAAAAATCCACCTTTATCATTTTAACATGAGCAAAGTCTCATGCCACAAGTTGTACCTCACTGTTCACTCTCCACAGAACTGAGGTTTTTACAGGAACCAGTCCATTGTCACTCCCAGCTTCTCAATTCTCCCCATTTCACCAAATCACAATGTTGAGTGACTGTCAAAGACACTTCTCTCAGTTTCTGAAGAAGTCCTGATCTGAATCTTAGAGGTGAGAGCTTCTGTGATGATTTATTTCACTCAACTGACCATGTCATGATGACTCTTCCAGATTCCTATATTGTTGCAGGTTGTGTCTCCTTGACATGAGACCGACTTTTCTCCTGTTTTTCTGTTTGGTATCTCACAGAAAGGAAGCACTGTCCTCACTGCTGACCACATTAACTGCTGTCCTTTCTTCCTCTGTGAAACCTCCTTTGCGCTCTGTATGGTATATGGTAGATAGCTTTGCTGCCTCAGAGCACCAGGGACCTGGGTTTGATTTCAGCCTTGGGTGACTGTCTGTGTGGAGTTTGCATGTTCTCTCTGTGTCTGCGTGGGTTTCTGCCAGGCGCACCAGCTTCCTCCCACAGTCACAAAGATGCGCATGTTATGAGGATTGGCCATGCTAAATTGCTCTCTGGTGTCCAGGGATGTGCAGGCTAGCAAGGTTAGCCATGGGAAATGCAGCATTATGGGGACAAAGTTGGGGTCTGTGTGGGATGCTCCTCAGAAGGTTGATGCAGACTGGATGGGCCAGATGGCGCCTTTCCACACTGTAGGGATTCTATGTTTCCATCTATTGAAAATCTCAGAGACTGAAAGTCTATCCACAGTTAGCACAGCTGCTGTTGCTTTGCTTTCAGTTGTGAATATTTACAATTTGCTCCCCTTACATCTCAAAAAATCCCTACCAATATAGAAATTGAGCCATCCAGGCCTGCTGTTAGACCTGATTCAAAGCCGATCACACAAACCTCTTCATTACTCCATTTTACTTCAAATTATAAAAGGGTAACCAACATATAAACTTGTATTTGTAACAGCAGTCTTCGTGATGGTGTGGTTACATGATCAAAAAAAATCACCTTGGGGTTAAGCACAACATCAAAGCTGCAACTGATTCGACACAATTTAAAACAGTTACCAGAAATGGAAACAGTGGGCATGTTCAAGTATACAACTGTAAGTGAGCATTATTGTAATTCCAGTCAAACTTTTCCTCTGTTTAAATTTATATCGAAGTTTGAAAAAATCTATAAAATGTGCCTATATAAATACAGTGCAGTCCTTAAATTTAGTAAAATATTGTGGAACTTCCATGGAACTTCTTACCTGCTTCCTGTTTCTGCCCCCAGCCAGTCACCCAGCATTTCTCTTCATTGGATATCACTTGAGTAAGTGAGGGGACGCAAATTGGTTGGATTACTGATGCAAGTGTATCTGGCCAAGCTGCCTTCAGTTGTAGCAGTGAAATATCATAGTCAAAGTTTCGACTATTATAGTATTCATGAACAAGGATCCTTTTGAGTTCAGTTACAAATTTTGCATTTCCTTGAGAACACATTCCTAAATGAGCTATCCATGACCTGGGATCAGACATTCTTTAAAAAAGAGAAAAAAGCTCTTGTTTCTGGAATACAAGGTTCATTCCACCATACAATACAATGAATTAAAATAACATTCTTAATATTCAACAAGAACTTAATTCTTATTGACACAATAGGTTAAAATCTTATTTTCTATTAACCTTTTTTTTTTATCAACTTGTTCAGAAAAACATTATTGCACACCTCTGGTGCAGGTGGGACTTGAACCTAGGTCTCCTAGACATGGGGTTGAGAAATTACCACTGTGCCACAAGAGGCATTATTTATTTATTATTTATTTTCATTATTTATTATTTTAATGGAGATGGTAAATGGTAGCGTTGTTAATTAATTAATTGACCATTAAATACAAGACTAAAATAAAAAATGAATTTGTATAGCAGCTTTCTCATCCTCAAGATGTCTAAAGCATTTCTCAGTCAATAAAGCACTTTTGAAGTGTAAACATTGTTGTTATTATCATCATGTTAAGAGTGACATGTTGCTTCTTTATCAATATTTTAGTTTATTATTATAAGCAATTTTAGCTTAACCTCAACTTTAACACTAATTCTATCTTTACAGGTTTAACTTTCTTTGGTAACTCTTTTTAAAGCTTGCCAGGAGGAATTATAAGAATGTAAGAATTAATAAACTTATAAAACTCCTGGGGAAAGTGGATGATATTGATACGGAATTTATTCAATTCCAGTAAGTCAAGGATGGTGGTGGCGTTGAATGTTTTTCAGACTAAGAGGCACTTTGTAGTTGTGTTCCCCAAGAGACAGTGTTGGGTCCGTTACTCTTTTGAGTTTTTATAAATAATGTAAACATAGATATAAACAGGAGCATGTAAAGTTTGTATGATACAGAATGTGGAAAATTAATAGATCGTGATAAAGGTAGTTATAGACTTTGGGATAATATAAAATAGTTAAACAGGTAAAAGTGTCAAAGATAGAATTCAATTGAGAAAATTGTGAAGCAAAACACTTTGGAAGGATTGATGGAGAAAAACAATACACTATGAATGGCACAGACTTGGCAAGTATAGATTAAGCAAAGAGACCGTAATGCCTATAAATGCAAATGTTTAAAGGCATATGGATTAAAAAAAATGAGTAAGTTTGGTTTATAGAGGGGTACAAGCAAAAAATATGATACCAGAACTTTTTAATCACAAATTAGGCTTCAGCTCGAATATTGTGCACCATCTGAGTACAACACTTCAGGAAAGATGTAATAGCTGCAGTAAAGGTAAAGGGACATATACTAGGATGTAATTGGGGGTGAGAGTCTACCTGGAGAGATTAGAACAGTTCTCTTTGGAATATAAATGGGTTGAGGTGACCTAGTAAAGGTCTTTAAGATGATGAGAGGATTTGATAGAAAAATATTATTCTCCCTAGTTAAGTGGCAATGTTGTCAAGGAATTAATTGAGTATTGAATACAAGACTAAATGTCATATATTTAAAATAAAGAATCTGAGAGGGGAGATGAAGAGAACTTCTTTCAATTAACTGTTGGAATCTGGAAACAAAGAAAGTGGTGGAAACTGTTGCCATAAATCAAAAAGGATTGAACAGGATGAAGCACCTATAGGGTTGAGAGCAAACTTGGGGAGTAATGTGGTTTGGGGATCACATGAGCTTTCTAAAAGGCCAGTACCAACACAATGGACCTAAAGCCTCCAGTATTGCAGGTTTCTATAATACTATGATTCTATTATATCACAAAATGGATAAAATTCTGATGTATCTGAGTTACATCCTAAAGTCGAATCCTCAGCAACAGAACTGTTCCACTTTTGTGCCAAGAACAGTGTTTCAAGTAATCATAATTTATTTGCTTACTTTTCCCCCTGAAAGCAATGTGCTGCAGATAAGAGCCACTTCTTTGTTATTACTGAAGCTCCACAATATGGTGATCCAGAAAAGTGCAGGCTAACTTGCCAAGGCCACTGTCCTTCATGAGCATTAGATCCTCCTACTATCCGACTGCGCCGCTGCCTCGGAATACCACAATCTGCATGATAGAAATGAAAACAAACAATTCTAGCAAAACTGGAAACAACCAGTGCTTTGATTCACAAACAATCACTATAATATCATTGGTCAAGCATCTTCTTTCAGATCACTCAGGCAATCGAATTGCACATATAAAGTAATACTTATCCAAGAACATTAACTGATCACTGGAGACAAATTGATATTTTACATCAGAATATGTAGAACTTCTAACTTAAAGACAATTAAATTGTCTTAATAATCCTGAATTGCTTAAGATTGACCTTGATTTCAGAAAATAATTCCTCAAAATGAAAATAAATTTTAAGTAAACTCCACCGATAAGTTACCTTATACTTTCTCTGCAGTTAAAAAATGTCATATGAGATAAATTATTCTTCAATAGTATATTCCCCATATAACAGATATGGTACTCACCACAATTCATTTCATCGCTTCCATCTAAGCAGTCTACACTTGTATCACATTTAGCGTTCCTCTTCCTAATACATAGGTTATTCTGACATTTATAGGTGACATTTGTGCAGGGTACAGCTGAAAATGAAAACTAACATTTTAGAATTTTCAAAATATAAATCGATCTGTATATTTCACTCATATTGTTTACATACTCACAGTCTGTGCAATTGAGTTCATCGCTGCCATTCTCACAATCTTTGACTCCATTGCAAATAAAATAGTGTTGTGGAGAATTTGTGTTGCACTCTTTTGGTGGTGGAGCTATTTTAAACCCAACCATAAACAAAGTTAACAGCACATCATGTACAAACATACAAATTAGGAACAGGAGTAGGCCATTCAGCCCCAAAGCCCTCTCTGCTATTCAATAAGATAATAGCTGATCTTATTGTGATCATGGGTTGTGACCTCCAATCTGCATTCCCAACTATCCCCGATAAATTTTCAGCCCCTTGCTTAACAAGAATCTAAGGTGATCAAGGAAACAAGGTGATCAATACTGTGCACGGTACCCCAGGTGTGGTCTCACCAGTATCCTGTATAACAGATGCATCACTTCCCTATTTCTACAACAAAACAGAAAGTGCCGGAGGAATTCAACAGGTTTGGCAACATCTGTGGAGAGTAAAACAGAGTTGACATTTCAAGTCCAGTGACCCTACTTCAGAAGTGAAAGCAGCTGAGAAATTGACGGGCTTTGGATTGTGAGGATGGAAAGGAATGAGATGAAGAGATGGATTTGAAATGTTGACTTCTTTTTCTGTCCACATATGCTACCAGACCTGCTGAGTTTTGCCATCAAATTCTATTTCTGTTTTAGATCTCCAACATCTGCAGTTATTTGTTTTCTTCCCTACTTTTATATTCAATTTCCCTTGCAATAAAGCATAACGTTCTATTAACCTTCCTAATTACTTATTGTGCAGGGCTGGATGAACACAGCAGGCCAAGCAGCATCATAGGAGCA